TGATGAGGGACAGTGGGAACAGGTGAGCAGGTAGGCGGGGAAGGTCATGTGATGGGAAAGTGAGGAAGAGGGGTTTACTGCAGGGCAGAAGGGAGCGGCTGGATCTGAACTGACTGGAAAGTTTGCATGTGACACAGCAAACAGCAGGCGAGAGAATGTGTAACCAGGAGCTGGCTGGAGTTTAAGTGACACATTATTGTACACGTAATTTAGACGTGAAAAACGTCTCAATGTCTTTTGACCTGCAAGTCTCCAAAATCAATGCTTAGCGGGAAATCAGTGTTCATTCATAAAGAGATAATGTTTGGTGCAGAATCTCCCGAGGCTTCAAACTTGGCTTGTAGTGCACAAATTTGTTACTTTATTATTTTGAATGGACCAAGAAAAGAGTCACTCCTCTACTGTGTTCAGTGGGAAGCACCAGTACATTCCAGTTTATGTTTCAGTAGCATTTTGTAATTATTGATGTATTGAGAATTACATCATATAAATCGCTTTAGTGTTAGCCATATATACAGTATCTTTACTGTATATGTCTGTAGCTGGTAGATATCCTGAAAAATAATTGATTTTATTTTACTTGATATATAAAACAGCACCCTGATGCTGGACAAGCAGCATTCTTATTTATCAATGTATTATTATTAACTTGCTTTGCATTTTATCCTACTGAGAGAGAGAAAAGAAGCAGCAGCTAACTTCAGAGCTTTCCAGTTTGACCAGTGCTCTGCTCGATCCTCTGCAGGTCAGCTGATGGGTATGAACGAGATCACGGAGAAGCTAACCCTGGACGCAAAGTGCCGGAACGAACACGCCATTGTCCAAAGGGTGACCACCGCCGCCAATCTCAGCAGAGTGCCCTGTGGGTCAGATAAAGAGTGCAGGTGAGGAGATTCGAACAACGGCTGCGTTGTGTGATTTGTGGTTTGTGAATAATTGTTGTGTTTTGCACCTCAGAGCCACCGTAATAATTTTATAATTAGAGTGCCTTCATTTGGCCAGTTAATGTCAAATAACAAATGTTTTAAACACAGTTTACATACAGAACTGAGAGTTATTAGGTATTGATGTTCATATTGTGTTTCAGTCCTTTTGACCACAAAAAATGAATGATAAGAATTTATCAAAAATCACCACAATCACAAGGCCTGAGACATGAGAATATGTACGTATTTATTTAAATTGAATACATATTTTAATAAATGTCTTAACACATTGGAATAAAGTTAGTGTTTAAGTCTTAATGACTGAATCAAACTGAATCTGTGGTGAAGCAGGTTTGGCCATCAACAGTT